GCAGTGGTGGGTAATTTTTTCCCACCTTCACAAGGATTTTTTCGAAATAGAGTTTTTGGAGGACCCTCTAAAGAGATTCACGAAAAACAGCGGGTTGTATCTCAGATTCTAGTTTTTTATGGAGCGAGACATTATGGAGCTATCCCGTTTGGCTTGTGTTTCGAGCAGTCCCAAATAGGACCTTATCACCTAAAAAATAGTCACTGAGTTTTTCATGGAACACCATGATTCCAAGAATTAGAGACCAAAGCAAGATTTTGGCCCACCAGATCAAGCACATGATTACCATGATGCTGATATATCACAAATACAAAATATTAATACCTTTTACCCAATATTGTTCCATATCATTTTATCAATTTAAAAATGAACGATGCTTTTGAGTTTCATTTTGCGGTTGCGCCATTCGACACCAATTTCAAAAAGCGTGTTTGCAACTGGATATCCTTTGTGATGAAGTGAAGATACTTATTATGCATCCATTTATTGAGTGATAATAGCATGTTGTCTAAAATGTGGGCCACATACATCCTAACTTTATGGACAAACCAACTTTGCAAATCTGTTAGACTGATTAATCCCACATTTAAGTTGACGGATTGTCTGCGTGCTGTAGTCCGTTGTTTTCTTCTAGTATCTCAAGGATCACCAGTATATTGAACAAGGAAGAAATAATAAATTTGTGAATCGCATGACACATTAACAAAGATTATCACTCTCAAACTACATGTTGCTTTGCTTTCGGGCAAGTTCCTAGAAGAAATTCTAGAAGTGTGAGCTTGCATTTGAGCTTGGCATTCATTCACATAGCATGTTCTTTTGGTGTTCATGTAAGAACCGTGATAAAAAATTTGCACTTGAGTGGTAACAAATGTTATTTGTGCCTGGTCTTAGTTGTGGTGCTCGTTGTTGGTTGTGGTGAAGGATGGGGGTGATCACTCGTTTGGCATGTACCATGTGGCCCAACACTTTTTTAATGGTGGAAGGGTCACAACTCACAACTCATAAAGGACCCGAGATCCATTAGATAAGCAACATCAGTACGTATTACACAGGGACTCAACATAAACTATGAACTGCAACCTAGTCCTAACCTTTTTTAGAACACAATAGCTACACACCAGTCATCTGAAAATCCGATTTGGGTCAGTCAATTTAGCTAGAAGAAAGGAGGCGCCAGAGGGAAGGAAGAAACAACTGCATTGGGGGGTGGGGGTCGTTGGAGAAGCTCCCCCATGATCTATCTTAGGGTGGGGGTGGGGGCGGGGGTGGGGTAGTGTTGCAAGTTCGTCGAAGAAAAAATCAGCAAGGCCCGGGGCTAGACGGATGGCCGAGGCGGCGGAAGATCGGCGGTGGGGGCAGTTCAGGGGAGGGCGGAGAGGCGAGGCGGTCCTGGGAGTGCCGCCGGCCGCGGGCGACGGGAGAAGGCGGCTAGGTCTGGTTTGGACCGGGCGGGGGTGAGAGAGGAAGAAGAGAAACAGGAGCTGGAGGTTGAAGATGAGCATGGTCCATTGGATTTTGATCCATCGATTGAGAAAGGAGGGAGATTAACTGGCCTAATTTTTTTTCAGCCGATTGAAAAATAGCCAGTCCCTTTATAGAAAGGACCCCAAATTACAATCATGGCAATCTAATCCTGCCTAACAGCCGTCGCCAAGAACCAAGACTACCACCACTGGGGACGAACCACTTGAGTGGAGGTCTCACTGCGGCATCTCCGCCGGCTCGTCGCCACTTGAACGGCATGCAAACGCCTAAAGAATACTGCATTGCCTCCCTTTTGACATCAAGACGGGAGGAATAAGAGGAGCTGACGCCGAAGTCGCTGGAGCTCCACGTGATGCCATTCGACCAGAAGAAGCATGGATGGATGGATGGATGAAGCTGTTTGTCAAATGATACGTCTCTAATGTATCTATAATTTATGAAATATTCATGCCATATTTATAACAATTTTATATGGTTTTGGTATGATTTGAATGGAACTAACCCGGACTGATGTTGTTTTCAGCAGAACTATCATGGTGTTGTTTTTTGTGCAGAAATAAAAGTTCTCGGAATGGGCTGAAAATTTACGGTGACTTTTTATGGACCAGAAG